GGGGCAGAACTGATGAGGTGGCACTGATGGGTACTGAAGAGGCTGCACTGATGAGTATTGGTGAGGCAGAACTGATGAAGGGTACTGATGAGGCAGAACTGATGGGGCGCAGTGATGGGGGTGGCACTGATGAGGCAGAACTGATTGGGCGGACAGTGATGGGGGGGTGGCACTGATGAGGCAGAGAACTGATTTGGGCGGCAGTGATGGGGTGGCACTGATGGGTACTGATGAGGTAGGACTGATGGGGTGGCACTGATGGGTACTGATGAAGGGACGGCACTAATGGCACTGATGGGTACTGATGGGGTGGTACTGATGTGCACTGATGGGTACTGATGAAGCAGAACTGATGGGTGGCACTGATGGGTACTGATGAGGCTGCACTGATGGGTGAAGCACTGATGGGTACTAATGAGGCAGAAATGATGGGGTGGCACTGATGGGTACTAATGAGGCAGAACTGATGTGGCAGCATTCATGGGACTGCACTGAGGGTAGTGATGGGGCAGCACTGATGAGGCGGCATTGATGGGACTGCACTGATGTGCACTGATGGGCAGCACTGATGGGTACTGATGAGCAGAACTAATGAGGCAGAGCACTGATGATGCTGCACTGATGGGCATTGATGAGTCAGCACTGATGGGGCGGCACTGATGGGTAATATTGATGCAGCACTGATGAGGCGACTCTGATGGGCACTAATGAGGCTGCATTGATCAGCACTGATGAGTGGCACTGCTGGGCTCTGAGAGGTGGCACTGATTGGGCACTGATGGAGAGGTACTGATAGGCAGCACTGATGGCCACTGATGGGTACTTGACAGGCTGTATTGATTGGCACTGATAGGGCTGCCCTGATTATAACAATACCAAAGTGACATAAACAATTGGTTGTAAACCCGTATGGTGTATTGGGGTCTCCTGGGAAGGCTATCCTGGTGGGCTTGTCACAATCAGATACAAAGTATTACCGGGATAAAGCCCCCCCCCCCCCTCATTGTACAGCTCTCCCCCCTCATTGTACAGCCCCCCCTCATTGTACAGCCCCCCCTCATTGTACAGCTCCCCCTCACTGTACAGCCCCCCCCCCCTCATTGTACAGCTCCCCCCCTCATTGTACACCCCCCCTCATTGTACAGCTCCCCCCCCTCATTGTACAGCCCCCCCTCATTGTACAGCCACCCCCCTCATTGTACAGCTCCCCCCCTCACTGTACAGCTCCCCCCCCTCATTGTACGGCCCCCCTCATTGTACAGCCCCCCCTCATTGTACAGCTCCCCCCTCATTGTACAGCCCCCCCTCATTGTACAGCTCCCCCCCTCATTGTACAGCCCCCCCTCATTGTACAGCCACCCCCCTCATTGTACAGCTCCCCCCCTCACTGTACGGCCCCCCCTCATTGTACAGCCCCCCTCATTGTACAGCCCCCCCCCCCTCACTACTGCCCCCCTCATTGTACGGCCCCCCCTCATTGTACAGCTCCCCCCCTCATTGTACAGCCACCCCCCTCATTGTACAGCTCCCCCCCTCACTGTACGGCCCCCCCTCATTGTACGGTCCCCCCCCTCATTGTACAGCTCCCCCCCCACTGTACAGCCCCCCTCATTGTACAGCTCCCCCCCTCACTGTACAGCCCCCCTCATTGTACAGCTCCCCCCCTCACTGTACAGCCCCCCTCATCATACAGCCCCCCCCTCATTGTACAGCCCCCCCCCCCCAGCATGTCGCCGTGGCTTCACCGATCATACACATGTGGACGGGTTCTAATATTGAGGACCTCCATGTGCCCACCCCTCCCCCACCATGTGCCATCGCTGAGCAGATCAGGATGGGGATAGAATTCGGCTCCCACAATCCGGCAGAAGTTCTCCTTTCTCGGGTCATATGTTAGTAAATAGCTTCTTGGCCTATTAACCCCTCCGGAACCTTCCGGCACTGAGGTTTACACGAGATATTGAGGACACCGAAGCTGAATGTGTTTTTCGCGTTGACCACTCAGCCCGCAGGAACGCGGCTCCATCTTCTCGCAGGATAGAGCAACTACATGACTTACAGAAGATAAACTCCACCTTGTATGAAAAACAAGGACTTTCCGGGGCTTCGGGGACTATTTCCAGGCTGCATGCAGAAGGAGGCATTTCCTCAGTCTCCTCCCCACCCCTCAGTGGTCACTCAGACTGTACATTGTAACTGTGTCTCATTTCCGAATTCCCTCCCCCACAGTGGTCACTCAGGCTGTACATTGTAACTGTGTTTCACTTCCTCAGCCCCCTCCCAGTGATCAGACATATATAAAAAAACACACATATATATATAAACACACACTACATGTTGAAATGCGTTTTTTATATATTACAAAATATATGAGAAATATTTTTCAAAATATATATTTTTTAACCCCTCGCCTACCGGGCACTTCTACCCCCTTCCTGCCCAGGCCAATTTTCAGCTTTCAGCGCTGCCGCACTTTGATTGACAATTTAGCGCGGCGGTCATGCAACATTGTACCCATATGAAATTTTGATCATTTTTTTCTCACAAATAGAGCTTTCTTTTGGTGGTATTTAATCGCCGCTGGGCGCTTTACTTTTTGCGCTATATAAAAAAAAAGTGCAAAAAATTTGAAAAAAAAAAAAAAAAATTTCTTTTTCTTTGTTTCTATTATAAAATTTTTCAAACAGGTATTTTTTCTCCTTCACTGATGTGCGTTGATGAGGCAGCACTGATGGGCACTGATAGGCAGCACTAAAGGGCACTGATAGGCAGCACTGATAGGTGACACTGATGATGGGTACTGATAGACGGCACTGACTGGCATCACTGCTGGGCACTGATGGCGGCACTGACTGGCACAACCCCTGGGCACTGACTGGTGGCACTGACTGGCAGCACTGCTGGGCTGCACTGGTGGGTGGGCACAGGTGGGTGGCACTGGTGGGCACAGGTGGGTGGGCACAGGTGGGTGGCACTTCTGGGCACAGGTAGGTGGCACTTTTGGGCACAGGTGTGTGACACTGCAGAGTGGCACAGGTGGGTGCACTGCTGGACACAGGTGGGTGCACTGCTGGGCACAGGTGGGTGATCTGCTGGGCACAGTTGGGCGGAGCTAGTGGGCGCACTGCTGGGCACAGGTGGGCGGAACTTGCGGGTGGCACTGCTGGGCACCGATCATCAGGGCACTGATCATCAGTGCCCTGATGATCGGTGCCGATCCCCGCTCTGACAACTGCCGGTTCTCGGCAGTACTTTCCTCACGATCTGACAGCGTGAGGAAAGTGCAGCCGAGAACCGGCACTTGCATTTCCCTGTGATCAGCGCGTCATTGGACACCGCTGATCACGTGGAAAAAGACCTTTTACCACATCACGTGATCAGCTGTGTCCGTAGGACACAGCGATCACGGAGATCGCCGGGTGCGCGCCCCCTGGGGCGCGCAGGAGAGCGCGTTCTGGGGGGACGTCATATGACGTCCACCCAGAACTGGCCGGCCGCAGTGAAGCCGTCATTCGGCTATCTGCGGTCGGCAACTAGTTAAATATATTCTTCAGATTTTTTTCAACATGTAAAAAAGTCATTTTAAAAAATATATTTTTACACATATTTGTAAATGCGTTCCAAAAATGTAGATTTGTATTTTTAAAAATATTATTCATGTATTTTGTAATAAAAACACATTTCAACATACAGTGTATATATATTTATTAATTGAAATATATTTTCTGAAATATAGTGAATACGACCAAAATTGTAGTATTTCAAATCTATGTCAATATAATTGGGAAGAATATTTAAAAAATATATTTAAATTATCTTTTTCTTCCATGTGGGCGGTGATCACTCAGACTGTACATTGTAACATTGTCTCCACTTTATTACTAATGTAGAATAAAAATAATCACGGTATCGTCACGGCTTCATTTTCCTCCTCTGATCCCAACAGAACACGAGTCTTGTGATGTCTGTAGGACGGACGGTGTTCCTCTTTGTTGCTGAAATGGAGAAGCCTGACCTTGTGATGACGCCATCTTCCTTCCTGTACACAACGAGGACATCTGCAATCCAGATTTTGCAACTGTACCTTTTATTGCAGAAATTCTTCTTTACGGTAAAACTTGCTCTTCGCGGTTCTGCTATGGGGGGGGGGGGTTTTTATATATATATATATTTGTATTTTTACAAGATGCCAAACATTCTACAGCCGTTGGCATTGACAAAGGAGACCATTCACATGGCAAATATGGCGACTACAGCTAGACCGAGGAGCTCCTGCAGGTGCAGATGGGTCAGAGACCCTGGTGGTCTGTCGTCAGGTCACAGCCCACAGGATTGCCCCACCAAGGGGATCGCGGGTATAGAATGGCTCTGGTGTGGCAACTACACATTAGGTGAATAGTCAGGTCTAGGTATGGGTCAAGGCAGGTGGCAAGTTAGAGTAGTCAGATCCAAGCAAGGGTCTTGGGAGGTATCAAATGAGAGAGTAGTCAGGTCCAGGAAAAGGGTCTTGACAGATGGTACATGAGAAAGTAGTCACATCCAAGCAAGGGTCTTGGGAGGTATCAAATGAGAGAGTAGTCAGGACCAGGCAAGGGTCTTGGCAGGTGGCACATGAGAGATCAGCCAAGTCCAGGCAAGGGACTTGGCAGGTAACAAATAAGAGAGTAGTCAGGTCCAGGAAAGGGTCTTGACAGATGGCACATGAGAGAGTAGTCACATCCAAGCAAGGGTCTTGGGAGGTATCAAATGAGAGAGTAGTCAGGACCAGGAAAGGGTCTTGGCAGGTGGCACATGAGAGATCAGCCAGGTCCAGGCAAGGGTCTTGGCAGGTGGCACATGAGAGATCAGCCAGGTCCAGGCAAGGGTCTTGGCAGGTGGCACATGAGAGATCAGCCAGGTCCAGGCAAGGGTCTTGGCAGGTGGCACATGAGAGATCAGCCAGGTCCAGGCAAGGGTCTTGGCAGGTAGCACATGAGAGATCAGCCAGGTCCAGGCAAGGGTCTTGACAGATGGCACATGAGAGAGTAGTCACATCCAAGCAAGGGTCTTGGGAGGTATCAAATGAGAGAGTAGTCAGGACCAGGAAAGGGTCTTGGCAGGTGGTACATGAGAGATCAGCCAGGTCCAGGCAAGGGTCTTGGCAGGTGGCACATGAGAGATCAGCCAGGTCCAGGCAAGGGTCTTGACAGATGGCACATGAGAGAGTAGTCACATCCAAGCAAGGGTCTTGGGAGGTATCAAATGGGAGAGTAGTCACATCCAGGCAAGGGTCTTGGCTGGTGGCACGTGAGAGAATAGTCACGTCCAGGTACGGGTCTTGGCAGGTGGCACATGAGAGAGTATTCAGGTCCAGGTAAGGTCTTGCAAGTGTAAAAAGAGAGAGAAGTCAGGTTCAGGCAAGGGCCTTGGCAATCAGCAAATGAGAGAGTAGTTAGGTCCAGACAAGGAGCTTGGCAGGCAACAAATGTGCGAGTACTCAGGTACCAGCAGGGGTTAAAGGCAAGCACCAAGCAAGAGAGTAGTCAGGTCCAGGTAGGGGTCAAGGCAGGCTGCAAGTTAGAGAGTAGTCAAGTCCAAGCAAGAGTCGAAGGCAGACAGAAGCAAGAGAGTAGATATTTTCAGGCAAGGGTCTTGGCAGGTATCAAAAAAGAGAGCATTCAGGTCCAAGTAAGGGTCTTGGCAATCAGCAAATGAGAGAGTAGTTCGGGTGTCCAAGCAGGGGTCAAAGGCAAGTGGCAATCAAGAGAGCATTCTGGGTTGGTAACAGTCACCTAACCTCAAAGATATGCATTATAGGTCTTCGCAGGAGGACAGCTGGTGATAAGGCACAGCACTGGCCACATCAAAGGTTGAGGGTTAAATACCCTTCTGGTTAGAGGCCCAATGTCATTAAGGGGAATGCTGGGAGTCCTGGCAGTGATTCTGTGAGCACCATTGGAGGTCCTGGCATGGATTCTGGGAGTCCTGTCAAGGATTCTAAGAGTAGGAGTTGTGGAAGTCCTGCTAGGGATTCTAGGAGTACCATTGGAAGTCGAGGCAGAGGTTCTAAAAGTACCATTAGATGCCCTCACTAGGGATACTTTAATACCATTAGAAGTCCTGGCATTAGATTCTGGGAGTCCTGTCAAGGATTCTGCTAAAGTAGGAGTTGTGGAAGTCCATTATGCCCCAAGGACCTCCTGGCATGGCAGTCCTGTCAAGGTACCATTGGAAGGAAGTACCATTGGAAGTCCAGGCAGAGATTCTGAAAGTACCATTAGATGCCCTCACTACGGATACCTAAAATACCATTGGAGGTCCTGGCAGGGATTAACTGGCACTGCAGATCTGGGACGTAACTATGATACCTGGAAGGGGTGTCCAGAACACCAAACTGTCTGAACATTATTACAAATGCTGGTCAGACAGTTCCAGTAGACCAGGGAAATCAAACTGACGGCCCTCCAGCTGTTGCAAAACTACAAGTCCCATCATGCCTCTGCCTTTGGGAGTCAGGCTTGTAACTATTAATCTTGCAATGGCTCATGGGACTTGTAGTTTAGCAACAGCTGGAGGGCCACCAGTTTGACACCCGTGATGATGTAAAGCAGGGGTGTCAAACTGGTGGTCCTCCAGCTGTTGCGAAACTACAAGTCCCATCATGCCCCTGCCTTTGGGAGTCAGGCTTGTAACTGTCAATCTTGCAATGCCTCATGGGACTTGTAGTTTGGCAACAGCTGGAAGGCCACCAGTTTGACACCCGTGCGGTAGATGTATTTTAATGGCAGCTTTCTTTATTATTTCAGAAATCAAAAATGATCAGATTCCTGTGTGAAGGACAAGAGTAACTTTATACACAAATGTAACATAAAAATACAAAAGGAGAAACACAGCAGACTGTGAAGCTTGTTGGTGGGTCAGCAGACCTCCGCTAACTGAATAAAATGTGTAGTATATGAATGAGGGTCAGGAGCCAATGAGGGAGCGAGGAGGTCGTTCTCATCTTATCGGCATGTTCATGTAGACTTTCTTGTCATCTGGAAGACACAAAGGGAACAGTTTGTCATCACAAGGCAGCTAAAAATGACGAAGGATCACTCCTTACAAAACAATATAGACTTTGACATTCTTATGACTTTATGAATGGTGGGGTGCGTCTTGTCTGTAGAAATTAACATCAAATGCATAGAATTGTTTTTATTATAAATATTTCCTGATTTGAAGTTTCAATTTGAGAGAGACATTCTGAAAGCAAACAGCTTCATTTTACCAAAAGCTAGCATAGCTCAGTTTCACCAAATATTCCTTCTTCCCTCACCCTTTTTCCTTTCCTTTTTCCTCTCCTCTCCTTCCCCTCATCTCTCACCCCTTCCCTCTCTTCTCCTTTCCTCCTCTCCTTCCCTCTTTCTCCTTTCCTCCTCCCCTTCCCTCATTTCTCCTCCCCTTCCCTCCCTTCTCCTCCCCTTCCCTTCTTTCCTTCCCTTCCTTCTGTTCATTCTTTTCTTCCTTTCCTACCCTTCTCTTCTTTCTTCCCTTCCTTCTTTCCTTCCCTTCCTTCTTTCCTTCCCTTCCTTCTTACCTCCCTTCCCTTCCTTCTTTCCTTCCTTCCCTTCCTTCTTTCCTTCCTTCCCTTCTGTCTTTTCTTCCCCTTCCTTCTTTCCTCCCCTTTCCTTCCTTCTTTCCTTCCTCATAGTTTTTTAAAACTATATTTTTTTAAAATATATTCTTCAGATTTTTTTAACATATAAAAATGTCATTTTAACAAATATTTTTCATATATTTTGTAATAAAAACACATTTCAACATACAGTATATATATATATTTATTGAAATACATTTTGAAATATATTGAATACGGCCAAAATGGTAGCATTTCAAATATATGTCAATATATTTGGGAAGAATATTTTAAAAATATATTTCAAATATATTTTTCTTCCATGTGGGGATCCCTTCCTTCCTTTCTTCCTTCCCTCCTTCCCTCCTTTATCCTATCTTTCCTTCCTTCATTCCCTCCCTCCACAACAACACTTCTTATCATCGTTATTCCTTCTCTGGAAGCTCTGCTTCATGCAGTAGTAGACCACCAGGATGATGACCAATTTAGGAGAACCTTTCCCTTTATCTCTGTCCCCCTTCTCCTCCCTTCCCTCCCCCTCCCTCCCTCCCTCCCTCCCTCCCTCCCTCCCTTCCTTCCTTCCTTCCTTCCTTCCTTCCTTCTTCCTTCCTTCCTTCCTTCCCTCTCCTCCAGTACAACATTTCTTACCATCGTTATTCCTTCTCTGGAAGCTCTGCTTCATGCAGTAGTAGGCCACCAGGATGATGACCAATTTATGAGAACCTTTCCCTCCCCTCCCTCCCTTCCTTCCTTCCTTCCTTCCTTCCTTCCTGCTTCCTTCCTTCCCTCTCCTCCAGTACAACACTTCTTACCATCTGTATTCCTTCTCTGGAAGCTCTGCTTCATGCAGTAGTAGACCACCAGGATGATGACCAATTTAGGAGAACCTTTCCCTTTATGTCTGTCCCCCTTCTCCTTCCTTCCCCTCCCTCCCTCTATCCTTTCATTCCTTCCTGCTTCCTTCCTTCCCTCTCCTCCAGTACAACAGTTCTTACCATCGTTATTCCTTCTCTGGAAGCTCTGCTTTGTGCAGTAGTAGACCACCAGGATGATGACCACCGTTAAGAAAACATCTCCGATCACCACACCAACCAGAGTGGTTGTATCAATATGGTAACAGTCCCCGCAGGAAGATTCTGCAAAACAGAAAGAGGCGATGGGGTCACGTTTGAACTGGAAAGTTCTTCCTACTTGAATATTCGCTGTCTCTAAGGTATGCAAAAACTCCTCAGTCCCGTACAGGGGTGGACTGACAACTCATGGGGCCCCCGGGCAATAGGGGATCATGGGGCCCCTGTGTCCTCTCCCACGCCCAAAAAAGCCTATGAAACAGCCAATAAAAGGTACCAGGGGCATCTCATGGGGCCCCCTTACTGACCCCGGGCCCTCGGGCAGTGCCCGAGTGCTCGAATGGTCAGTCCGCCCCTGATCCCGTATCGTCTCATCATTCAGAATGGTGGGCCTTCATGTGAAGAATGGACCACCCAACACCAAAGAGGAATAGACAAAGTAACTGACACGGCATTGGCAACCTCAGGAGTAGATCCATCTATGGGACAGCGGGCCAAAAATGATAACATTTATTTATTCAACAATCTCATTGTGTTGAGGAGGCAGAGCCTGTACATGTGATGGCAAAGCACATCTGCCCCCCATGAACATTTATAATTACAAATATTATGATGAAAACGAGATCTTTAAAATATTAGAAAACAACTCCAAGTACTTTTTTTGGAAATTGTCCTCTTGGAGGCATTAAAAAAATTAAAAAGCAGCTTTCTGCCACTAGGTGTCCTCAGTCTTTCAGGATGAATGAATCCCGGTGTCATTCCACCAGGATTGCGATGACACTTGGTGACACCCCCTCCGACGATCCCCGCAGGATGGATCGGATCTGCTGATTGAGCATAATGGGTCAGAGTCCGATCCATTATGCTCCCCAATCCGCAGATCTGATCCATCCTGCGGGGATCGTCGGCTTTCTTTACAACTTACCAATTCGTGGAGCGGGTCCGGTGTCACCCCGTATAGGTTGCACGCCGACGATCCCCGCAGGATGGATGGGATCTGCGGATTGGGGAGCATAATGGATCGGACTCCGATCCATTATGCTCAATCAGCAGATCCAATCCATCCTGCGGGGATCGTCGGCTTGCTTTACAATTTACCTTTTCGTGGAGCAGGTCCGGTGTCACCTCGTGCGGTAGGTGTCACCCGGTGCGGCGCGCACCCCCCGCACCTGCCTAGGGACACCCCTGGACTGGCATAATCAAGGCTTTGGACATCTTTTCATATCCTTTTCCATCTTTTTAAAATTCCATTACCTTGTTCCGCAGGTCTTTTGTCGGTTCTTTTCTGCTCCCCATGGCTCAGTATCTAGCCTGCTCAGTGCATCCACGTGAGAGCGAACAAACTCACTGACTATTTATACACTGACACTAATTTATAAAGCCACATATGTGGGAAATCACCCTTTGATTGCCATTATAACCCGTGTGTGGCCCCTTGTTTGTCTGTGCCAAGGCCAAACATTCCAGGGGGCGGAGACGTCTGATCGGGGGGGCGGAGACTTTGATCCAGGCCTTTTGGGGGATTTCTGTTATCATTAGGATTTAAAAAGGAGCCGAACGACTATGTGATAATAAATGGCTTCATATCATCACCATCCTTCAATAAAAGACAGGTTTTTTTTGGTACGATCAATCAGATTTTCAATATAAATGCCAAAATATCACCATTTCTGCCCCGGGGGAGGCAAACATTTGACCACAACTGTATCAGTTACAGGGGGTGAGACAAACCATCTACCACTGACAGGGGGGCTTACAATGATCAGCTTTTATTTATTTAAGTAACACCTTTATCCCAAAAGGGAAGAAAAAACTGTAACCGATTATAAAGCGTGAACTGAAGTTTGGCTTCAATTTGTTAGTGTATGTAAATCTGCTAGTGCATCTAACATCTGGACACTGACAATGCTGCTGTCCAAAGGTGCCCCCTGTGCTCCCTCATTCAGAGTGGAGGCGCTCTAACACAGGAGGTGTGTTACCGGCCAGATCACCAGGTGAAAACAGAGGGGAAAAGGCCAAAGAAAAGAAAACGAATGCAGCCGCCACCACTGATGATTGGTAAGCTGTGATATATGACGTTTCTGGTTTGAGGTTTAATACCGCTTTGATTATCTTGTGCGAGGACAAGGACTGAAATGTCCAAAGGGGCATGGGAGGATCCCTACTCTCCTGGGGTGCAGACAATAAAACCCGCAGTGACAGCAATCCTTCGTATGTTCCTCATCATTATTATGTTCATAAAAGTTTATCAAACACTCTTCTTCTTGTTGTTTTATTTCTTTTCCAAACTCAGAACGATTTACTTCCCCAAACGATGGACTTCAAGACCACAAAAAGTAGAACCATCCAAATGTATATATTGAAAAGACAGAAGCTGTGGCGTCCAAATCACTGGCCAGGGAAGGCGGTCGGGAATTTATTTTTAATTTCTAAATATTTTTCTCGGGTTGTCTGTGAGCTTCCTGTATTGTTCGGGAAGAGAAAGGTGAAATACACAAAGGACCACCAGCCACGGACCTCCAAGTCGTTAATATAATAATATAATATAATACAATATGATACGATATAATATAAGAAAGGCGAAATATATTCACCACTTCCCGGCCGGCCCATGTACAGTCAGGTCCATAAATATTGGGACATGGACACAATTCTAACATTTTTGGCTCTATACACCACCACAATGGATTTGAAATGAAACAAACAAGATGTGCTTTAACTGCAGACTGCCAGCTTTAATTTGAGGGTATTTACATCCAAATCAGGTGAACGGTGTAGGAAGTACAACAGTTTGCATATGTGCCTCCCACTTGTTAAGGGACCAAAAGTAATGGGACAATTGGCTTCTCAGCTGTTCCATGGCCAGGTGTGTGTTATTCCCTCATTATCCCAATTACAATGAGCAGATAAAAGGTCCAGAGCTCATTTCAAGTGTGCTATTTGCATTTGGAATCTGTTGCTGTCAACTCTCAAGATGAGATTCAAAGAGCTGTCACTATCAGTGAAGCCATCATTAGGCTGAAAAAAACAAAACAAACCCATCAGAGAGATAGCAAAAACATGAGGCGTGGCCAAAACAACTGTTTGGAACATTCTTAAAAAGAAGGAACGCACCGGTGAGCTCAGCAACACCAAAAGACCCGGAAGACCACGGAAAACAACTGTGGTGGATGAGCGAAGAATTCTTTCCCTGGTGAAGAAAACACCCTTCACAACAGTTGGCCAGATCAAGAACACCCTCCAGGAGGTAGGTGTATGTGTGTCAAAGTCACCAATCAAGAGGAGACTTCACCAGAGTGAATACAGAGGGTTCACCACAAGATGTAAACCATTGGTGAGCCTCAAAAACAGGAAGGCCAGATTAGAGTTTGCCAAACGACATGTAAAAAAGCCTTCACAGTTCTGGAACAACATCCTATGGAGAGATGAGACCGACATCAACTTGTACCAGAGTGATGGGAAGAGAAGAGTATGGAGAAGGAACTGCTCATGGTCCTCAGCATACCACCTCATCAGTGATCATGGTGGTGGTAGTGTCATGGCGTGGGCATGTATGGCTGCCAATGGAACTGCTTCTCTTGTATTTATTGATGATGTGACGGCTGACAGAAGCAGCCGGATGAATTGTGAAGTGTTTCGGGGATATTATCGGCTCATATTCAGCCAAATGCTTCACAACTCATTGGACACTTCACAGTGCAGATGGACAATGACCCAAAGCAGACTGCAAAAGACACCAAAGAAGTGGAATGTTCTGCAATGGCCAAGTCCATCACCTGACCTGAATCCGATTGAGCATTTCACTTGCTGAAGACAAAACTGAAGGGAAAATGCCCCAAGAACAAGCAGGAACTGAAGACAGTTGCAGTAGAGGCCTGGCAGAGCATCCCCAGGGATGACACCCAGCGTCTGGGGATGTCTATGCGTTCCACACTTCAGGCTGTAATTGACTGCAAAGGATTTGTAACCAAGTATTCAAAAGTGAAAGTTTAATTTATGATTATTATTCTGTCCCATTACTTTTGGTCCCTTAACAAGTGGGAGGCACCTATGCAAACTGTTGTCATTCCTACACCGTTCACCTGATTTGGATGTAAATACCCTCAAATTAAAGCTGACAGTCTGCAGTTAAAGCACATCTTGTTAATTTCATTTCAAATCCATTGTGGTGTATAGAGCCAAAAATGTTAGAATTGTGTCCATGTCCCAATATTTATGGACCTGACTGTATATAAACGGCCGGACGGTGGCAGTGCAGGGGTGGGTTGCCATTCACCCTCCATATTGGACTCTGCGCGCTCCCTGGGAGCGGGTGCCTGCTGTGTCCGATCGCTGTACAGGACCTCTGTGCGAGGTCCCGATCATGTGATCACTGATTGGCCAATCAGTGATCACATGAATACGAGTAAGCAAGGTGTCACTTCAGACATCACTTCTGCCATTGCTTACTACGTGTGAAATCTGTGAATGATCACAGACGTCACATGGTACAGGGCGATTCACAACATCCTTGTACCATGTGACAAGCTGTGACCAATCACAGCTCTCACAGTATTTCTCAATGGCTGCAAGAATGCAGACAGAGAGAAGGAGAAATGATTTCTTTTACAGCCTTTATGGATGTAAAAGCAATCAGTATAAAAAAAAAAAAAATCTTCATCACCCCCCACAAGTAGTACAGTGTCACCATGGGATCACACAGAAGCGGTGCGGGAAACTGCATGTGGGATCACACAGAAGTGGTGCGGGAAACTGCATGTGGGATCACACAGAAGCGGGTACAGGAAACTGCATGGGGGATCACACAGAAGCGGTGCAGGAAACTGCATGTGGGATCACACAGAAGCGGTGCGGGAAACTGCATGTGGGATCACACAGAAGCGGTCCGGGAAACTGCATGTGGGATCACACAGAAGCGGTCCGGGAAACTGCATGTGGGATCACACAGAAGCGGTGCGGGAAACTGCATGCCATTCTTTGCAGTGTGATTTGATTCATTTTGTATGGGTTCAAATTGCACTGCAAAGGTATCGGAACTCCGGTATCAGCAAGTACTTGACCGAAAGTATCGGTACTCACTCGAAAAAAAAAACGATATTGGTGCAACCATAATATATATATACACGGCTGAAAAAAATGAAAGGAAGACTCTGAAAACGCATCAGATCTCAATGGGGAGGAATCTCCTGCTGGATCTCTATACTGACATGGACGGGGGATGGGTGAGGAACGTAAGGACGCCCCATCGTTGGATGGAAATGATCGACCTACAGAGGACTGAATTCACAGACACCCCGAAAATCAAAGTGAATAAATTTTGCATCAGGCGAGTCCATGTTGGTGAAATGTCATTGCAGCAACTCAGAATGGTCCTCAGTAGTCTGTGTGGCCTCCATGTGCTTGTATGCATGCCTGACAACGTCGGGGGAGGGTCCTAATGAGACCACGGATGGTGTCCTGGGGGATTTCCTCCCAGATCTGGACCAGGACATCACTGAGCTCCTGGACAGTCTGAGGTGCAACCTGGCGGCGTCGGATGGGCCGAAACATGACATCCCAGAGGGGTTCTATTGGATTTAGGTCAGGAGAGCGTGGGGGCCATTCAATGGTATCAATTCCTTCATCCTCCAGGAACTGCCTGTATGCTCTCCCCACATGAGGCCGGGCATTGTCTGCACCAGGAGGAACCCAGGACCCACTGCACCAGGAGGAACCCAGGACCCTCTGCACCAGGAGGAACCCAGGACCCACTGCACCAGGAGGAACCCAGGACCCACTGCACCAGGAGGAACCGAGGACCAACTGCACCAGGGGGAACCCAGGACCCACCGCACCAGGAGGAACCCAGGACCCACTGCACCAGGAGGAACCGAGGACCCACCGCACCAGGAGGAACCCAGGACCCACCGCACCAGGAGGAACCCAGGACCCACTGCACCAGGAGGAACCAAGGACCCACTGCACCAGGAGGAACCCAGGACCCACCGCACCAGGAGGAACCCAGGACCCACTGCACCAGGAGGAACCCAGGACCCACTGCACCAGGAGGAACCCAGGACCCACTGCGCCAGGAGGAACCCAGGACCCACTGCACCAGGAGGAGCCCAGGACCCACTGCACCAGCGTAAGGTCTGACAATGGGTCCAAGACTTCATCCCGCTCCCTAATGGCAGTCAGGGTGCCATTGTCTAGCCTGTAGAGGTCTGTGTGTCCCTCCATGGAGATGCCTCCCCAGACCATCACTGACCCACCACCACCAGAACGATCATACTGAACCATGTTACAGGCAGCAGAACGTTCTCCACGGCTTCTCCAGACCCTTTCACGTCTGTCACATGTGCTCAGGGGGAACCTGCTCTCTTCTGTGAAAAGCACAGGGCACCAGTGGTGGACCTGCCAATTCTGGGGTTCAATGGCCAATGCCAATCCAGCTCTATGGTGCCGGGCAGTGAGCACAGGGCCCACTAGAGGACGTCGGGCCCTCAGGCCACCCTCATAAAGTCTGTTTCTGATTGTTTGGTCAGAGACATTCCCACCAGTGGCCTGCTGGAGGTCATTTTGTAGGGCTCTGGCAGGGCTCATCCTGTTCCTCCTTGCACAAAGGAGCAGATACCGGTCCTGCTGATGGGTTAAGGACCTTCTACGGCCCTGTCCAGCTCTCCTAGAGGAACCGCCTGTCTCCTGGAATCTCCTCTGTGCTCTTCTCTCCTGGAATCTCCTCCATGCTCTCATCTCCTGGAATCTCCTCCATGCTCTTGTCTCCTGGAATCTCCTCCATGCTCTTGTCTCCTGGAATCTCCTCCGTGCTCTTCTCTCCTGGAATCTCCTCCATGCTCTCATCTCCTGGAATCTCCTCCATGCTCTCGTCTCCTGGAATCGCCTCCATGCTCTTGTCTCCTGGAATCTCCTCCATGCTCTTGTCTCCTGGAATCTCCTCCATGCTTTTGTCTCCTGGAATCTCCTCCATGCTCTTGTCTCCTGGAATCTCCTCCATGCTTTTGTCTCCTGGAACCTCCTCCATGCTCTTGTCTCCTGGAATCTCCTCCATGCTCTTGTCTCCTGGAATCTCCTCCATGCTTTTGTCTCCTGGAACCTCCTCCATGCTCTCGTCTCCTGGAATCTCCTCCATGCTCTTGTCTCCTGGAATCTCCTCCATGCTCTTGAGACTGTGCTGGGAGACACAGCAATCCTTCTGGCAATGGCAGGTATTGATGAGCCATCCTGGAGGAGTTGGATTGCCTGTGCAACCTCTGTAGGGTCCAGGTATGGCCTCATGCTACCAGTAGTGACACTGACCCGAGCCAAATGCAAAACTAGTGAAGACAGGCAGAGAAGATGAGGCGGGAAACAAATGTCACCTGTAAAACCATTCCTGTTTTGGGGGTTGTCTCATTGTTGCCCATCTAGTGCACCTGTTGTTCATTTCATGAACACCAAAGTGATACATTGTAGCGCAGAGAACAGGGAGATCCTTCCACGCTACACAACTGATACAAACGTTTCCTATAACAAGGTTGCAGATACAGATAACGGAGGCAGTGATTGGTTTACCTGCGTCAGACGCGGCTGCAAATCCTGAGGAAGAGAGAAAGAGAAAACGTGAGAAACGGCAGATATTATCTTCATAATCCAATGAGGGCGGAGCAGAGCGGAGATCTCTGCATGTCATTGGACTGAGGACTAGGTGGGCGGGGTAATGCACTGCAGCCTATGAGAGAACAGAGAGTAGCTGAGATCAGATTACATGCAGCCTGTTCATTCTGGGCTTCTCTCTCTTTTTGGTGTATATATATATATATTTTTTTTTTTCCCTCAAATTTTTTTAATAAATATAATCATTATATATAACTGTACAATATCATATATAATATATATATTGGGGTTTTTTTATGACCCTGCAAGCTATCAGGGAAGGGGCACGGCGTTCAAATTACATGTACATGCAGCCTGTTCATTCTGAGGTTCTCTCTTTTTTGGTGTTTGTGTATATATATATATATATATATATATATATATTTTTTTTTTTTTTTTTTTAAATAAATATAATCATCATATATAACTGTACAATATTATATATATATATATATAATGTTTTTTTTTTTTTCATGACCCTGCATTACACTGAGAGCTAGCAGGTAAGGGGCACGACGTTCAAATTACATGTACATGCAGCCTGTTCATTCTGGTCCTCTCTTTCCATTTTAGTGTATGTTAGTATATGTTGATTTATATTATATATATATATTTATATAAATGTTTCTGTGGCAATGAGACTGCACTATTATACTGTGATAAGATGTACAGAGGGACACTGGGGGTCAGATTACATGCATCCTGTTCATTCTGAGCTTCTGTCTCTTTTTTTTTGGTGTATGCCAATAAAAGCTGATTTATATACCTGTATTTTCCACAACTGAAAAAATGATATATAAATAAATGGGCGGGGGGGGGGGGGGGGTTGGAGGTTTTTTTTTTTTGTCAATGAAACGGCAGTACGTGATAAGGAGAGAGGCAGCAGGGAGGGGCTTCAGCATATTATATGCAGAATGTTTATTCTGAGCCCCGCATTCACTGTATCCGCTCTCTCCCCGGACCCCGCATTCACTATATCCGCTCTCCCCAACCCCGCATTCACTGTATATCCGCTCTCCCCGGACCCCGCATTCACTATATCCGCTCTCCCCGGACCCCGCATTCACTATAGCCTCTCTCTCCCGGACCCCGCATTCACTATATCAGCTCTCCCCTGGGACCCCGCATTCACTGTATCCTCTCTCCCCGGACCCCGCATTCACTATATCCGCTCTCCCCCGGACCCCGCATTCACTATATCTGCTCTCCCCGAACCCCGCATTCACTATATCCAGACCCCGCATTCACTATATCCGCTCTCCCCGTACCCCGCATTCACTATATCCGCTCTCCCCGGACCCCGCGTTCACTATATCCTCTCTCCCCGGACCCCGCATTCACTATATCCGCTCTCCCCGGACCCCGCATTCACTATATCCGCTCTCCCCGGACCCCCGTTCACTATATCCGCTCTCCCCGGACCCCGCGTTCACTATATCCGCTCTCCCCGGACCCCGCGTTCACTATATCCGCTCTCCCCAGACCCCGCGTTCACTATATCCGCTCTCCCCGGACCCCGCGTTCACTATATCCAGACCCCGCATTCACACTATATCGTCCCTCCCCGGACCCCATTCACTATATCCGCTCTCCCCGGACCCCGCATTCACTATATCCGCTCTCCCCGGACCCCGCAGTTCACTATATCCGCTCTCCCCGGACCCCGCAGTTCACTATATCCGCTCTCCCCGGACCCCGCGTTCACTATATCCGCTCTCCCCGGACCCCCGCGTTCACTATATCCGCTCTCCCCCGCGTTCACTATATCCGACCCCGCGTTCACTATATCCGCTCTCCCCGGACCCCCGCGTTCACTATATCGCTCTCCCCGGACCCCGCGTTCACTATATCCGCTCTCCCCGGACCCCGCGTTCACTATATCCGCTCTCTCCGGACCCCGCGTTCACTATATCCGCTCTCCCCGGACCCCGCGTTCACTATATCCGCTCTCTCCGGACCCCCGCGTTCACTATATCCGCTCTCCCCGGACCCCGCGTTCACTATATCCGCTCTCTCCGGACCCCGCGTTCACTATATCCGCTCTCCCCGGACCCCGCGTTCACTATATCCGCTCTCCCCGGACCCCGCGTTCACTATATCCGCTCTCCCCGGACCCCGCGTTCACTATATCCGCTCTCCCCGGACCCCGCGTTCACTATATCCGCTCTCCCCGGACCCCGCGTTCACTATATCCGCTCTCCCCGGACCCCGCGTTCACTATATCCCCGCTCTCCCCGGACCCCGCGTTTACTATATCCGGTCTCCCCGGACCCCGCGTTCACTATATCCGCTCTCTCCCCGGACCCCGCGTTCACTATATCCGCTCTCCCCGGACCCCGCGTTCACTATATCCGTCTCCCCGGACCCCGCGTTCACTATATCCGCTCTCCCCGGACCCCGCGTTCACTATATCCGCTCTCCCCGGACCCCGCGTTCACTATATCCGCTCTCCCCGGACCCCGCATTCACTATATCCCCGCTCTCCCCGGACCCCGCATTCACTATATTCGCTCTCCCCGGACCCCGCATTCACTATATCCGCTCTCTCCCAGACCCCGCATTCACTATATCCGCTCTCCCCGGACCCCTCATTCACTATATCCGCTCTCCCGGACCCCGCATTCACTATATCCGGTCTCCCCGGACCCCGCATTCACTATATCCGCTCTCTCCCCGGACCCCGCATTCACTATATCCGCTCTCCCGGGACCCCGCATTCACTATATCCGTCTCCCCGGACCCCGCATTCACTATATCTGGTCTCCCCGGACCCCGCATTCACTATATCCGGTCTCCCCGGACCCCGCATTCACTATATCCCGGACCCCGCTCTCCGCTCCCCGGACCCCGCATTCACTATATCCGCTCTCCCCGGACCCCGCATTCACTATATCCGCTCTCCCCGGACCCCGCATTCACTATATCCGGTCTCCCCGGACCCCGCATTCACTATATCCGCTCTCCCCGGACCCCGCATTCACTATATCCGTCTCCCCGGACCCCGCATTCACTATATCCGCTCTCCCCGGACCCCGCATTCACTATATCCGCTCTCTCCCCGGACCCCGCATTCACTATATCCGCTCTCCCCGGACCCCGCATTCACTATATCCGCTCTCCCCGGACCCCGCATTCACTATATCCGCTCTCCCCGGACCCCGCATTCACTATATCCGCTCTCCCCGGACCCCGCATTCACTATATCCGCTCTCCCCGGACCCCGCATTCACTATATCTGCTCTCCCCGGACCCCGCATTCACTATATCCGCTCACAATGGGCTCAGCGGGTGTACAGACTCGGGAACTCAGCACAGGGATGGTGGGACAGCATAGAAATCTCCCCTCAGACATACAAGAGACTGTCAGGTGGGGGAATTTTCCAGCGTTGGGTGGGGTGGACAGACACCATTGGAAAGTCGCTCTCCTGGTGAAGATCGCCCCGATTGCCTCCATGCGGCCGGTCACATCCCCTTTGCGAGTTTGCGAAAATCCGGCGTCACCTCCCCTCCCCCCTCTCCCCTCTTGCGGAATGGCCGGAGTGGAGATCTGTGGCTCCTTCCTCCGTATTGCAGTGATGGTGTCACTCTTACCCCAGGGCAGCCACAAGAGGAAGGCCGGGACGATGTGCCTCGCCATGTCGATTCATTTTGTCACTTCGTTCGCTGAGAAGTCGCTGTGCTGGGGGGTCCGCACCTTCTGCCGTGTATTGTGCACCAGACAGGATGTCAAATGTGGTTTTTGTCTTCCCCTCACCGCCGAGACGGAGGGGAACTAGGAAAATGTAACGCAGCGCCCTCGCCGCCTACAGACTGCCCTCTTCTGCGATACATCGCTACAAGATCGCTACAGAGTCGCTACAGAGTCGCTACAAGATCACTACAGGATCGCTACAGAGTTCGCTACAAGATTGCTACAGGATCGCTACAGATCGCTACAAGAGTCACTACAGAGTCGCTACAGAGTCGCTACAAGATCACTACAGGATCGCTACAGAGTCGCTACAAGATCACTACAGGATCGCTACAGAGTCGCTACAGGATCGCTACAGGTCGCTACAAGATCACTACAGGATCGCTGCAGAGTCGCTACAGGATCGCTACAGGATCGCTACAGAGTCGCTACAAGATCACTACAGGATCGCTACTGCAGAGTCGCTACAAGATCGCTACAGGATCACTACAGGAGTCGCTACAAGATCACTACAGGATCGCTGCAGAGTCGCTATAGGATCGCTACTCACTACAGAATCGCTACAGAGCCGCTACAGAGTCGCTACAAGATCACTACAGGATCGCTACAAGATCACTACAGGATCGCTACAAGATCACTACAGGATCGCTACAGAGTCGCTACAGAGTCGCTACAAGATCACTACAATATCACTACAGGATCGCTACAAGATCACTACAGAGTCGCTACAGGATCGCTACAATATCACTACAGGATCGCTACAGAGTCGCTACAGGATCGCTACAGAGTCGCTACAAGATCACTACAGGATCGCTGCAGAGTCGCTATAGGATCGCTACAGGATCGCTACAGAGTCGCTACAAGATCACTACAGGATCGCTACAGAGTCGCTACAAGATCACTACAGGATCGCTACAGAGTTGCTACAAGATTGCTACAGGATCGCTACAGAGTCGCTACAAGATCACTACAGGATCGCTACAGATCGCTACAAGATCACTACAGGATCGCTACAGAGTCGCTACAAGATCGCTACAGGATCGCTACAGAGATCGCTACAAGATCGCTACAGGATCGCTACAGAGTCGCTACAAGATCACTACAGGATCGCTACAGAGTCGCTACAAGATCACTACAGGATCGCTACAGAGTCGCTACAAGATCGCTACAGGATCGCTACAGAGTCGCTACAAGATCGCTACAGGATCGCTACAGAGTCGCTACAAGATCACTACAGGATCGCTACAGAGTCGCTACAAGATCATTACAGGATCGCTACAGAGTCGCTACAAGATCACTACAGGATCGCTACAGAGTCGCTACAGGATCGCTACAGGATCGCTACAGATCGCTACAGGATTGCTACATTCGCTACAGGATCGCTACAGGATCACTACAGAGCCGCTACAAGATCACTACAGGATCGCTACAAGATCACTACAGGATCGTACAGAGCCGCTACAAGATCACTACAGGATCGCTACAGAGCCGCTACAAGATCGCTACAAGATCACTACAGAGTCGCTACAAGATTGCTACAGGATCGCTACAAGATCACTACAGGATCGCTACAAGATCACTACAAGATCGCTACAGGATCGCTACAAGATCACTACAAGATCGCTACAGGATTGCTACAGAGTCGCTACAAGATCACTACAGGATCGCTACAGAGTCGCTACAAGATCGCTACAGGATCGCTACAAGATCGCTACAGGATCGCTACAGAGTCGCACCGATTTAGCGCCCCGTCATACCGGTGCGATTTCACGTGCTATTTGGGAATTGAAATCGCATTCAATGAATGTGAATGTCTTTGCAATTGAGTCTTCAGAAAGTTGCGTGATTTTAAATCGCAGCGATGTGACCGATGATGAATTGCCCGGTCATATCGAAGCGATTTGCAAATTGGAAAGTCGCACCTGAAATCGTATCTAAAGAACGCTACTATCAGCGTCTTAATGTGGGATTTGCTGCGGTGCGATTTCTAAAGTCGTTCCCCCGCGTGACTTTTTCTGCAGTTTTGTTGCGATTTCAAATACATGGAATAGAATGGAGATCGCGCCACAAATGGCAAGAAATCGCTGAAAATCTTCACAAGTCACAATAAAGTCTTCAGAAATCGCATCTGAAATTGAACTGAAATCGCACACAAGTTGCGTGATTTAAAATCGCAGCGGAGTGACCGATGATTTATTGCCCGGTCATATCAGTGTGATTTTTAAAATGGAAAATCGCACCTGAAATCGCATCTAAAGAACTTAAATGTCAGTGTATTAACACGTGCGATTTCTAAAGTTATTCCTGCGTGACTTTTTCTGCAGTTTTGTTGCGATTTCACAGACAGAATAAATGAGAAATCACACTGCAAATTGCTACAAAGTCTTCAGAAATCGCACCTGAAATTGAGCTGAAATTGCACACAAGTCACGTGATTTTAAATCGCAGCGGTGTGACTCATGACTAATTGCTCGATATCGATGCGATTTGCAAATTGGAAAATCGCACCTGAAATCGCATCTAAAGAACGTGAATATCAGTGTCTTAACATTTGCGATTTGCTGGGTGCGATTTCTAAAGTCGTTCCTGCGTGACTTTTTTCTGCAGTTTTTTTTCGCGATTTCAAATACATGGAATAGAATGGAAAATCGTGCCGCAAATTGCAAGAAATCGTCGCAAATCTTCACAAGTCGCAATCAAGTCTTCAGAAATCGCATCTGATGAATGTGAATGTCGGCGTCTCATGCGATTTGCTGCGGCGCGATTTCTAAAGTCGTTCCTGCGTGACTTTTTTTCTGCAGTTTTGTTGCAATTTCACATCCATACAATAGAATGGAAACTGCGCCGCAAATCGCAAGAAATCATTAAAAATCTTTGCAATAAAGTCTTCAGAAATCGCACCTGATATTGCACACAAGTCACGTGACTTTAAATCGCAGCGGTGTGACCGGTGATTAATTGCCCGGTCATATCGGTGCGATTCCAACTCACTCAGAGTCTCAACAATTTTGCCCCCATACTATTCTACACGATCGATGTGAGGTTGTTTTTCACACCTCGTCTCTTACGCCTGCCCTCTAAATGTCACGCTCGCACGAGCAGACCACAGCGTGGATGGTGAGGCTGTGACTTCCTACCACGCCGTGCATGTGCAGCGCTTCCTCGGTGCTCTAAGTATCAGCAGCATCCCCACCGACCAATCAGAGCTCCTCATCTGCCCTCTGCAAACGACTTACTGCTGCTAACCCCTAACGACCAATCACTGCGTAAAGCTGAACATAAAGAAAGCCAAAGGGTTTGGAGTGCTGTCCATCCAGGCCTCAGATTTATACAGCTCTGAAAAATAGAATAGAATGAGATAGAAAGAATATCACCATCTTTGGAAATGTGATGGTCGAATAGAATACATTTGAATTCAAATAGATTACAATAGAATAGAAAGAATACAATCGCCTTCAGGAATTCGAATTTCAAACTAGAATGAATTTGACTTAGAATTTAATAGATTAGAATAGAATAGAAAAAAAAAAACAGAATAGCATAGAATAGAAAACACAATAGAATGCACAGCTCTGCAACACAGCACAGCCACCTCTGATAGGGCGGGAGACCTGAGGTTTTTCCTTTCCTTTTGTACAGGTCTCCCCCCCCCCCCCCCCCCCATAATTCAATAGAATAGAATAGAAAGAATTTAACTGTCTTCCAAATTTCTAATAGAATACATTTGAATAGAACAGAATAGAAAAGAATAGAGTAGAAAAAAAACAATAGAATAGAATAAAATAGAAAGAATATAACCATGTTTGGAAATGTGATGGTTGAATAGAATAGATTTGAATTCAAATAGATTACAATAGAATAGAAAGAATAGAATCGCCTTCAGGAATTCGAATATAAAATAGAATGGATTAGATTTAGAATGTAATAGATTAGAATAGAATACACAGCACAGCCCCTCTGATAGGCCAGGAGACCTGAGGTGTTTTCATTGCTGCAGTTCAGTAACACGTACAGGTCTTGTCCCTCCCCCCCCCGAAATTCAAGTAGGGGAGGTGTGCAGAGGAGGGTGGAGAGGAGGGGTGTAGGGGAGGGGCGGGGCAGTGAGGAGGGGCGGAAGGGGAGGGGAGGGGCAGAGAGGAGGAGCGGAGGGGAGGGGCAGTGAGGAGGGGGGGCGCAGGGGAGGGGTGGAGGGGAAAGGCGGAGAGAGGAGGGGTGCAGGGGAGGGGCAGAGTGGAGGGGCGGAGAGGAGGGGTGTAGAGGAGGGGCAGAGTGGAGGGGTGTAGCGGAGGGGCGTAGAGGAGAGGAGGGGCGTAGGGGAGGGGCGGAGTGAGAGGGGCGGAGAGGAGGGGTGTAGGGGAGGGGTGGAGAGGAGGGGATGGAGTGGAGGGGTGCAGGGGAGGTGCAGAGAGGAGCAGAGGGGTGGAGAGGAGGGGCACAGAGGAGGGGTGCAGGGGAGGGGTGTTGGGGAGGGGTGCAGGGGAGGGGGGGAGGGGAGGGGCGGAGAGGAAGAGCAGAGGGGTGGAGAGGAGGGGCACAGAGGAGGGGGGGGAGGGGTGGGGGGGGGGGGGCGGAGAGGAAGAGCAGGGGGGAGGGGAGGCACAGGGGAGGGGGGGGGAGGGGGGTGCAGAGGGAGGGGTGCAGGGGAGGGGTGCAAGAAAGGGGTGGGGGGGGAGGGGTGTAGGGGAGGGGCACAGGAAAGGGGTGCAGGAAAGGGGGGTTGAGAGGAGGGGGTGTAGTGGAGGGGGTGGCAGGGAGGGGGGTGCAGGGGAGAGGTAGGCAGGAAAGGGGGTGGAGGGGAGGGGCGGAGTGGAGGGGGTGTAGGGGAGGGGGCGCAGGAAAGGGGTGGGAGAGAAGGGGTGGAGGGGAGGGGCGGAGGGGGGGCAGGGGAGGTACGGAGAGGAGGAGGGGGGTCATGGTTTGGAGGGTGATGATCCCCTTTGGGTGTCACTCTCCTGGAACACAATCCCCCTCCAGGGCCGCCATTTAAGGAATATTAGAATTGTCTGCCAATCAGGTGTTCAGTGTAGACATTCCGATACATTGTATCAGTTGTCCTGTCTGAGTCATAGTGCGGGGGGGGGGGGGGGTGTTGTGTCACCCTTCCCCCTCCTGTGTCACCTCTCCCAGCACTACATTGATCTTCTGACCCCCCCCCCCCCCCCCCCGCTCTGTGGTGGTCGGCACCCTTCCTGTGCACACTTTCATTCCTACACTAAGGCGACACGCAAGCAAGCAGGAGGGGAGGGGGGTTGTTGGCCCCCCTTGTGTGTCTGATCCTGCCTCACCCCTCCGCCAGCAGCCAAAACCTATACAGGGCTCGTTCACCCCGGCTTTCTCTGAAAAGCGATCCACATTCGGATCGCTCTTCAGTGAGCATTTGACGGGCGGTGCAGAGGTCCCTATTCACTTCAGTGGGTCACGACTGGTGGGCACTGCACCCACCGAATATATATATATATACCGTATACTCCTGCCACCAATGCCGGGGGGGTCAGCTACAGCCCAGGGCGCACATACCAAACCACGCCCCCCCCCCCCCCCCCCCCCCCTTGATTTATGTGAAAATTCCCATCCTCCTACCCCATAAGCAGAAATTCACCCCTCCTCCCATCACAAATACCTTCTCCCCAAAAACTGAAGGGGAGGAGCCAATAACCTAACTGAAGGGGAGGAGCCGGTACAACCTGTGCAAGACAGAAGAAGGGGAGGAGCCAGTACACCTGTGCAAGACAGAAGGGGGGAGGAGCCGCTACACCTTTGCAAGACTGAAGGGGAGGAGCCAGTACACCTGTGCAAGACTGAAGGGGAGGAGTCGGTACACCTCTGTAAGACTGAAGGGGAGGAGCCAGCACGCCTGTGCAAGAAAGAAGGGGAGGAGCCGCTACACCTGTGCAGGACTGAAGGGGAGGAGCTGGTACACCTGTGCAAGACTGAAGGGGAGGAGCCGCTACACCTATGAAAGACAGAAGGGGAGGAGCCGCTACACCTGTGCAAGACTGAAGGGGAGGAGCCGCTACACCTGTGCAAGACTGAAGGGGAGGAGCCAGTACACCTGTGCAAGACTGAAGGGGAGGAGCTGCTACACCTGTGCAAGACTGAAGGGGAGGAGCCAGCACACCTGTGCAAGAAAGAAGGGGAGGAGCCGGTACACCTGTGCAAGACTGAAGGGGAGGAGTCGGTACACCTGTGCAAGACTGAAGGGGAGGAGCCGGTACACCTGTGCAAGACTGAAGGGGAGGAGCCGCTACACCTGTGCAAGACTGAAGGGGGGGAGGCGGTACACCTGTGCAAGACTGAAGGGGGGGGAGGCGGCGGTACACCTGTGCAAGACTGAAGGGGAGGAGCCTGTACACCTGTGCAAGACTGAAGGGGGAGGAGCTGCTACACCTGTGCAAGACTGAAGGGGAGGAGCCAGCACACCTGTGCAAGAAAGAAGGGGAGGAGCCAGTACACCTGTGCAAGACTGAAGGGGAGGAGCCGGTACACAACACCTGTGCAAGACTGAAGGGGAGGAGTCGGTACACCTGTGCAAGACTGAAGGGGAGGAGCCGGTAACACCTGTGCAAGACTGAAGGGGAGGAGCCGCTACACCTGTGCAAGACTGAAGGGGAGGAGCCGCTACACCTGTGCAAGACTGAAGGGGGGAGGCGGTACACCTGTGCAAGACTGAAGGGGGGGAGGGAGGATTTAGTAGGGCGGGGCAGGTTGCTCAGGCGGTCAGTCTGGTACGGGAACGTCTGGTAATTCCGGGAGGAGGACGGCAGCCATCTTTGATGATGGTGGAGATGCTGCAACCATCAGATTTCGGATCGCACAGCGAGACCGACGAGAGTTCTTACAGGGGGCGCTGGAGTGGCGGCACTTTGCTAAGAACTCCTGGAGTCCATCCAGATTCTGACTTGCTGGGTCGTTGTGTTAATACGCATACATTATTTGTGTGTTTTTACCCCCCCCCCCCATGCGTTGTACTCAGGCCGACCATTCATAAGATTGATCCAGCGATCGACTAAAACCTTCATACATACACAGGGGAAGGTCTGAGTGTGGAAAGGATTCCTCTAGTGGACAGAAGGGATATTGCACTCTAAAGGGTTGCTGACATTTGTATATGGGGTTTTTTTTTTTTTACACTTTTTCCTTTTACTTTATTTATTTATTAATTTTTAATGCTGACATTTTTTCAGTTGAGTTCTTCCTGTTTTGAGTTATTTCTGAAAGAAAGAAAATAAAGATTCCCATAATCTTATGATAGCAATTGGTTAGGAATGTAATCTATATATATATATTGGTGTATACGGACATGCAATGGACAGGACGGGGACGGCGGGGACAGACAGACAGGACGGAGAGACAGAGGGACGGACGGACGGACGGACGGACAGACGACAGAGAGACGGAGACAGACAGACAGACGGACGGACGGACAGACGGACGGACGGACAGACAGATAGATGGACAGACAGACAGACGGAGAGAGACAGACAGGACGGACGGACGGACGGGACAGACAGGACAGACGGACAGATAGATGGACAGACAGACAGACAGACGGACAGACAGACGATACTTTTTTTACATGTATTCCTGTTCATTTATTTCTTTATTTTTATAATTCTGCTTTCTTTCTTTTTCTTTTTTTTAGGGGTTGCTGACCTGTTTGTACTTTTTTTCTACATGCTTTTCTTTTCAGGAGAGGAGAGGAGAATAGAAAATGTAACAAAAGAAGTAAAGACTAGAAATGGAATAGAATAGGAAGGAAGGAAGGAAAAGGAGAGGAGAGGAAAGGAGAGAAGGAAGCAAAAGACGAGGGAAGAAAATGTAAGAAAGGATAGAATAGAAAACAGAAAAGAAATGGAAGGAAAAAGGATAGTAAGTAAGAGGAGGGGAGGAGAGAGAAGAGAGGAGACAGTAGAGAGGAGAAGAAAGGGGGGAAAAGAGAGAAAAACTGGGGAGAGGGGAGGGGAGAGGAGGGGGAACGGAGGGGTGGAGAGGGAAAGAGTAAAGGGGGGAGAAAGGCTTTGGAGGGAGAGGGGGAGGGGGGAGTGGGAGAAGGGAAGGGAAGAAAAGAGAAGACTGGGGAGGGAAGAGAAGGGGGGGGGAGGGGGGGGAGGAGAGAAGGGGGGGGGGGGGGGGGGGGGGAAGAGAGAAGACTGGGAGGAGGGAGAGGGGTTGAGGAGAGGGGAGGGGAGGAGAGGAGAGGGGGAGGAGGGGGGGAGAGGAGTGGGGAAGGGAGGGGAGGGAGGAGGGGGTGGGGAGAGGAGAGGGGGGAGGGGAGGAGAAGAAAGGAGAGGAGAGGGGGAGAAAAGAGGAGGGGGGGAGGGGTGGAGGGAGAGGAGGGGGAGAGGGGAGAAGAGGGGAGGAGGGGGGGGAAAAAGGAGAGGGGAGGGGGGGAGAGGAGAGGGGGGGAGAGGAGGAGAGGGGAGGGAGGGGAGGGGAGGAGGGGGAAAGGGGGGAGGAGGGGGGAGAGGAAAGGATAGGAGAGGGAGGAGGGGGGAGGAGGGTAGAGGGGGAGAAGGAGGGGGGGGAGGAGAGGAGGAGGAGGAGAGGGAGAGGAGGAGAGGAGGAGGGAAGGAGAGGAGAGGGGAGGAGAGGGGGGGAGGGGAGGGGGAGAGGAGAGGAGGGGGGGGGGAAAGGGAAAAAGAGGGGAAAGGGGGGAAAGGGAGGGAAAGAGGAGAGAGGAGATGGGGGGAGAGGAGGAGGAGAGGGGGAGGAGAAAGGGGAGGGAAAAGGAGGAGTGGGAGGGAGGGGGGAGGGGAGGAGAGGGGGGGGAGGAAGAGGAGGAGGGGGGGGGCCAAAGGAGGAGGGGGGAAAATGAGGAGAGGAGGAAAAGGAGAGGAGAGGGAGAGAAATAGAGGAAAGGAGGGAAGGGGGAGGAGAGGGAGAGGGAGGAGAGGAGAGGAGGGGGGGAGATAGAAAGTGGAGAGGTAGGAGGAGGTGGGGAGGAGAGGAGAGGGGAAAGGAAAGAGGGAGGGGGGGGGAAAGGAGAGGGAGGGGTGGAGGAAAAGGGAGAGGGAGAGGAGAGGATGAGGGGGGGAGTGAAGGAGGGGGAGGAGGGGAGGATGGAGAGGGGGGAGGAGTTGAGGAGGGGGGAGGAGGAGAGGGGAAAGGAGGGGGGAGGAGGAGGAGAAGAGGAGAGGGAGGGGAAGGGGGGGGAGGAGAGGAGAAAGAGAGGGGAGGAGCTGGGGAGGAGGGGGGATAGAGGAGTAGGAGGAGAGGAGGAGGGGAGGAGAGGAGGGGAGACGAGGAGGGAGGAGAGGAGGAGGCGGAGGAGAGGAGAGGAGAGGAGGAGGGAAGGAGAGGAGAGGACGGAGGAGAGGAGGAGGGAGAGGAGAGGAGAGGAGGAGGGGAGGAGAGGAGAGGAGGAGGGAGGAGGAGAGGAGGAGGGGAGGAGAGGAGAGGGGAAAGGGATGAGGGAGAAGGGAGGAGAGGAGAGGAGAGGAGAGGGAGGGGGAGAGGAGAGGAGAGGGGAGGAGAGGAGGAGGAGGAGGAGAGGAGAGGGGGTGAGGAGAGGTGGAGGGGAGAGGAGAGGGGAGGAGGAGAGGAGAGGAGAGGGGAGGAAAGGAGGAGGGGAGGAGGAGAGAGAGGAGATAGGGTGTGAAGAGATTAAAATTAGCAAATAGACAGGTACTTATTTACCCGGATCACCCCAGGCAGACGATATAACTCTCTATATTTGTTTTGCTCCTGGGAAACAAAAAATGTCTCAGAAAGAATACGAGGGAAGAAAGAAGAGCTCCAAGATGAATAATAATCTTATTGATAGAAGTGTAATTTTTTAGAGAGAATTGATATAAATGCCGGAAGAGCGCAGAGGACGGCTGAGAACGTCTTTATTGAAGAATTCCTAAAACATACAAAATCCCATCAATCTGACCCATAAAACCATAAATGGCTGATTATTGACAAAAGCAGCTGCGGTGAAAATGTAATGAGGTTTCCCTCCCCCCTCCCAAGGAAACATATATATATGAGAAGTACCTGGTCTCTCACAATTGTGCAGTAGAAGCTGCAGCCAGTCAGATAGAGCTCCGCTCATTTCCTGGCTGGAGGACGTCCAGTATCATCTAGCATCTTTCCTCCCCAGTCTGTCCCTGGCCCACCCTTTCATTCATTAGTTTCTTAATCTGTCAATCATGAAGATTCGGTATCACATGTGTGGCGTTACCTAGAGTGGTCTGCATGCAAAGACAGCCCGCCTAGCCAACACCCACATCTACCCATCAAGGTATTATGATGTTTGCATAACTCCTCCTAAGAGCCAGCCCACTGCTTGCATCAGGACTGAGGGGGGTCGACAAGAGGAGCACTGAGGGAGGGGACTGCAATGCTTTCAGGACATTAAGTGTAGCTTCAAACTGGGGCCCCTCCCACCAGCCATGATCTTCCTGCATTGCAAAGAGAAGCACAGAGATCCAGTGATGGCATCATTGGATCTAAAATAAGATATATTTTGAAGACAGAAAGGTTTAATTTAAAACTTTCATCAGAATGTTGATGGGATGGGGGGGGGGCAAAATAGAAAAAGTGGGTGTACCCTGAGGGGACGAGACAGCAATAAACGCCTAACAGGGGGTTTCTAACCCTTCTGAACTCTATGCAATATTAAAAACAAAGTCCATTGATATGACTCCCTCTACTTCCTATTGATCCTTTCAGGGCAATGTCTTCTGTAATCGGAAAAAAAAAAAACAGCGATGTGATGAAATTCTTCTCTGGGCCAAAGGTGACGTGCATTATGGTGTCCCACCAGCAGAGGCAGCATAAGTGCAGCAAAGTACATCATGTTACATTGTACAGCTGTGTTACATGGGGACCGCAGATATGAGAAGATACATTGTAGAGATGTGGGATTCGTATTTTGTATTGTTTTTTGTAATCAAAACATTTGTACCAATAGTTGCATCTGGTGGTGGAAGAATCCATCCCGTATGAATCCACCGCAAATCACACCCCATATGATCCACCACTAATAATCACACCCCGTATGATCCACCGCTAATCACACCCCATATGATCCACACCACAAATCACACCACCCATATGATCCACCGCTAATCACACCCCTATATGATCCACCGCTAATCACACCCCATATGATCCACCGCTAATCGCACCCCATATGATCCACCGCTAATCGCACCCCATATGATCCACCACTAATCACACCCCATATGATCCACCGCTAATCGCACACCCGTATGATCCACCGCTAATCAAACCCCGTATGATCCACCGCTAATCGCACCCCATATGATCCACCGCTAATCGCACCCCCCACCACATATGATCCACCACAAATCACACCCCATATGATCCACCGCTAATCGCACCCCATATGATCCACCACAAATCACACCCCATATGATCCACCACAAATCATCACACCCCATATGATCCACCGCTAAATCGCACCCCATATGATCCACCGCTAATCACACCCCATATGATCCACCACAAATCACACCCCGTATGATGCACCACAAATCACACCCCATATGATGCACCACAAATCACACCCCATATGATCCACCGCTAATCGCACCCCATATGATCCACCACAAATCACACCCCGTATGATGCACCACAAATCACACCCCGTATGATCCACCGCTAATCGCACCCCATATGATCCACCGCTAATCGCACCCCATATGATCCACCACAAATCACACCCCA